CCCCCCCCCCCCCCCCCCCCCCCCCCGCCGTCTCTGCAGCTCCTGAGGTTTCACTGTAGTTCTCCGCAGCGTCGTCCCTGTGTCCCTGTGACTAGATCGATTCCTGTGATGGTTGGGTGCATGCCTAGGACCTTGCCAAGTTCTTTCTTCCCAGCTGGAAGCCCCACTGTGCGGTGCCCGCCATGGTGCACACTCGAGGTGCGCTGTCTGGTGGTCGGCTTTCTGTGCGCTCAGTTTGTTTGGCACAGTCTGCGTGGTCTGGTCTGTGCGGCGGGAGGCGAGCCCGGCCCGTGTGAGTTCCATGTGCCCTGGGAGGTGGGTTCTACTGATCTATAGATGTAAATGTTATCTGGCTTATTTTTTCTTTTCTTTTTTATTTTTTTTGCAAAGTGATCTGTACATTCCTCTTATTTATTAAATCACTGGCTTTGGTGTTATGTGGAGAGATTTGTAGATTGATTTCAGAACAGAATTAAAATATTGTGAAAATTACATCTTAATAAATGTTTACTGTAATTTGTTGTATGGACTTTTTAATTTTTTTGCTACCAGGGATGGAACCCAGGGGCGTCTAACCACTGAGCCACGTCCCCAGCCCTTTTTATTTTTATCTGGAGACAGGGTCTCATGAAGTTGTTTAGGGGCTTTCTGAGTTGCTGAGGCTGGCCTCAAACTTGTGATCCTTGTGCCTCAACCTTCGAAGTCACTGGGGTGCCAGGCCTGTGCCACTGTGCCTGGCTTGAACTTCTTAAATATACTTTGGCACATTATCCAAGCATTCATGGGGTTCATCCAATTTGAATGTGTTATGTCAGTTCTCTGATTTTATTTCCCAATCTGAGAAGGGTCACAAAACCTTGAATTTAAGTGTTCAGTTGGAAATAGGTTGCCAGGTAAAACAGAGAAGGGTTAAACTTGAATTTCAGATAACCCAGCAGGGCCTTCGCAGCAGAAGGCCGCAAGTCTTCATGTTGACTGAGATGCGTTGCGGCTCACACTAGAAAGGGCTGGTTTGTCTGACACCCACTTTGGCAGGTGTCCTGTGTCACCCATTGGGTTGGTAGCCCTTGCGGGGTCCAGTCTCCACCCCAGCCGGAGCCAGGGTGTCCCTGGGC